CTTCCTCCCCTTTACCCTTCCCCTCTTCTTCCCATTCCTCCCCTCTTTCCTACTCTTACATTCCCTCCTATTCTTTTTTCCCCCTTCATCCAACATCTTGAAGGCGCGAGATCCTGTCCAGCATTAAAACCTTTTTTCCAAACAGCCTCCATGTTTCCAGCGTCTTTCTCCCCACTTGGAGATGAACCCAGCTGGACATTTCTCCCAACAGGAGCAAGGACCCTTCAATGATTCTCTGCCCACTTAACTAAGGAGCGTGTTCAGTTTAAGTAAAAAAATGAAACCTCCCCAGGGAGACAGGTAGAGTCTATCCCCGTGATGGCGAACCTATGGCACATGTGCCCCAAGTGGCACGCGGAGTCCTCTCTGCGGGCACGCAAGCCGTCACCCCAGCTCAGCTCCACTGTGCATGCACACACGCCTCCCGCCGGCTAGCTGATTTTGGGGTCTCTGCCATGCATGCATGGGGGGGGGACATGTGGGGGCAGGAGTGGGGGGCACAGGAGTGCAGGGGGGGGGTCATGTGTGCAATTGCTCTCAGAAGCCAGGTGAGAAGGTCACAAATGCAGAACATGTGACCCAGGAATGCAGCAGCAACCGTTGTAAATATGTGCCAATTGCCAAGTGCCTGAATTTCACATACCAGGGAGATGCAGCAATGGTGAAGATTGGTGATAACTCACTTTTGCCAGTGCCATTGTCACTTCGCTAAACAAATGATTGACAATCGAGAACTGCCTGTACTTTCTCAGTAACCTAATTTATGGCATACGTTTTCAGATCGGAGAACTACAGATGAGGGTCTCTTGCCCTCCCTCTCTCCCTCTATTTCTCTCTCTTTCTTTCTCTCCCTCTCCCCCCTCTCTCTATCCATCTCCACCTCTATTTCTCTCTCTTTTCCTCCCTCCCTCTACCCCCCTCTCTATCCATCTATCTCTACCTCTATTTCTCTCCCTCCCTCTCCCCCTCTCTCTATCCATCTATCTTTACCTCTACCTGGCGCAGTGGTTAAGTGCAGCACTGCAGGCTACTTCAACTGACTTCAGCAGTTCAGCTGTTCAAATCTCACCGGCTCAGGGTTGACTCAGCCTTCCATCCTTCCGAGGTGGGTAAAATGAGGTTCTGGATTGTTGTTGGGGGCAATATGCTGACTCTGTAAACCGCTTAGAGAGGGCTGAAAGCCCTATGAAGCGGTATATAAATCTAACTGCTATTGCNAAGAAGAAGAAGAAGAAGAAGAAGAAGAAGAAGAAGAAGAAGAAGAAGAAGAAGAAGAAGAAGAAGAAGAAGAAGAAGAAGGGGACGACAGAGAAGGAGGTGGCTGACTGGAGTCACTGAAGCAGGCAGTGTGAGCTTCAATGGACTCCAGAAGATGGTAGAGGACAGGAAGGCCTGGAGGAACGTTGTCCATGAGGTCGCAGTGGGTCGGACATGACTTTGCAGTTAACAACAACAACAAAGTGGTCAACTTCGAAGCCTAAATAAAACAGCCTTAAAGAAACATATTATCTGGAATTATTTGTTTGCAAATCCCCTTAACTATGGCAATCTCTTTGACCTAAGGCCAAACAGAAACAATTGTGCACATTAACAATTCTATAAATACTTGAAAAACTAGGCCAGGCTCGAAGGTGCCTCACATCTGGTATATGCAGGAAATGTGCTGCAGGATTTTTCTTGTTATTTCAAAGTTACGCCCTTATTTGCTTTGTTCTTGGGTGCCTTTTGAGTTTGTTTTCCTTGAAGGCCGATCCCTAATAAATGGGGAAGGTAGGATTAACAGGGAAAGTCAAGTCAGATGTACGTGACTGGGTTTTAAAAATGCAGAGGAAAAAACATGGGAAGGCTTTAAAAAAAATATATCAACATTCTCAAAGGCCAGATTGGAGGGTCGCGGAACGTTCTTCCACGACTTTAAATATATTTTAAAAGTCTCTAACTGGCGAATACTCAATTTATACCTGCACTTAAAAGAAAATGAACTCAGAATAAGAGAATAATAAAGTTGGGAGGGACCTTGGAGGTCTTCTAGTCCTGCTACCTCCTGCTCAAACAGGAGCCCTATACCATTTCAGACAAATGGGTGTCCAATCTCTTTTTATAAACGTCCAGCACCCACAACTTCTGTAGGCAAGCTATTCCACTGCTTAATTATTCTCACTATTAAGAAGTGATAATAATTTCTTCTAATTTCTAAATTGCTTCTCTCCTTGATTAGTTTGAAAAGGGGGGAAAAAAAGGACACTCTTTTGAGGTACCTAATGTTCACATTTCGGACAGGAAAGATAGATGGTTTGAGAAAAGAGTGAAGTGATTTATGCCAATGTGGAAAAATCTCCCAACAGATAGACAGCCTGTTTCCCATAATTTATGCTGTTCTTGCACCAGTTCGCAGGAAGATCTTTACTGGTTCACCGGGGGTTTCACCCGTTAATGACCCACCTAAAAGAAGGATTTAGGAGTGAAGGAAGTTAGAACCCACTCACTCTCCTAGAAGAATGAGATATTCTGGAAAAATGTTTAAAATGCAGAATATTATATTTCCCTGGGTGAGTAAAGGAGAAACATGTTTTTAAAGGCAAAGCAGCTTCCTGCAGTTCCCTGGCCCACCCCTCTCCTTCAGCTCCAGGGTGATGG